CGAACGAGCGGGGGCCACGAAGGGCATACGTGTATTGGGCCGCGGAGGGCAAGGACGGGGCCACTGAGGGCAGCAACGGGGCCACGAAGGGCAGCGAGGGACCACGAAGGGCCACAACGGGGCCACGACGGGTATGCATATGGGGCCACGAAAGGCGCGAACGAGCGGTGGCCACGAAGGGCATACATCTATGGGGCCACGAAGGGCAGCGAGGGGGCCACGAAGGGCTGCAACGGGGCCACGAATGGCAGGGAGGGGGCCACGAAGGGCTGCAACGGGGCCACGAAGGGCAGCGAGGGGGCCACGACGGGCTGCAACGGGGCCACGAAACAAAGCGAGGGGGCCACGAAGGGCTGCAACGGGGCCACGAAACAAAGCGAGGGGGCCACGAAGGGCTGCAACGGGGCCACGAAACAAAGCGAGGGGGCCACGAAGGGCTGCAACGAGGCCACGACAGGCAGCAAGGGGGCCACGAAGGGCTGCAACGGGGCCACGAAACAAAGCGAGGGGGCCACGAAGGGCTGCAACGGGGCCACGAAACAAAGCGAGGGGGCCACGGAGGGCTGCATCGAGGCCACGAAACAAAGCGAGGGGGCCACGAAGGGCTGCAACGAGTCCACGAAGGGCAGCGAGGGGGCAACGAAGGGCTGCAACGGGACCACGAAGGGCAGCGAGATCCCGATTCCTGAATAATCTGTGAGGGAGTCATCAGCGTGAGCGCGACTCCTGGGTGCCTGAGTGTCGGGAGCGTGGCGCTTGAGTAAATTGTGGGAACTTCCAACGCAAGGGCGGTAGTCTTGAGTACATTGCAAGCAAGTCCCCAGCGAGAGCGCGACTCAAGAGAGCGAGAGAGCGCTGCCCAAATACATGGTCAGGAAGTCCCAAGCGAGAGCGCGATTCCTGAATAACACGCGAGGAAGTCTCGGGCGGGAGCGGGGGTCCTGGCTAAATTGTGAGGGGGTATCTGGCGGGAGCCGTTGTTGTTGTAGCCAGGGGGCCAACAACGCAGTTTGAGGATGACGACCTCCCATGATAAAAAAAACATGGTGCGAGCGCCGGGAGGGGCACTTCAATTGAAAAAACAATGTGCACTGGAGGGGGGGGTCAACCATCATTATTCTTCAGTAGTGAGAGTTCAACCAAGTACCAGCAACAACAACAACAACAACAACAACAACAACCGCAACCGCCACCACCACAACAGCCACAACAATAACAACAGCAACAATAACACCATCAACAACAACAGCAGCAGCAACAACAACAACCACAACACCACCAATAACAAGGCAAAACAACCGGCTGGTGGACCTGGTGAGGGTTCACCAGCTCGCTGCTTCGCTCCTTGTGGCGAAACGTCTCACTGGTGGACCCGGACCCCCCCCCCCCCCGGCAACGCAGCGCAACGCGACGCAACGCAACATGTGGCTGGCAACAGAAACGGAAGCCATTGAAAAATCTTCTGGAGTCCTTCGGAACCCTTAAGAAAGCTGACGCATTCCCGCGAGCTGAAACTATGTGCGCTCCCCCGAGCCGAAACCTTCGGGCACGCTATAGAATCCTTCAGGAACGCTATAGAATCCCTAAGGGAGGGCTGCAGAACCCCTAAGGGATGCCATAGAATCCCTGAGGGATGCTATTGACTCCCTAAGGGCGGCTATAGAATCCCAGAAAGGGCTGCTGCATAATCCTTAAGGGATGCTATAGGCTGCTACGAAATCCCTAAGGGATGCGATAGAATCCCTAAGGGATGCTACAGAATCTCTAAGGGGAGGCTGCAGAACCCCTAAGGGATGTTACAGGATCCCTAAGGGATAGAAGCCCTAAGGGCTGCCATAGAATCCCTAAGGGCTGCCATCGTATCCCTTGAGGCTCCATAGATCGCCGTCCCGCGGCATACCTTCAGACAGGAGTTGAACCCTCCGCTCCTCCGCCCCCGTCTCTCGCTTGTCGTCCTCCTCCTCCTCCTCCTCCCCTCCCCCTCCTCGTCGTCGTCCTCGTCCTCGTCCTCCTCCTCCTCCTTCTCCCCCTTGCGGGGGAAGAGGTGCGCAGGGTGGGGCAGTCACGGCTTCCTAGAAAGGAACCGCCGTGCAGGCGCAGCAGCAGGTGAAGCGTCGACTCGTTTTGCGTGTTGCCCGGCGTTCCTCAGTGGCCTGCCCCAGAGGGGGGAGGCGCATGCCCAAATGGCTTGAACCACAAATGAAGAGAGGGAGAGGAGCGTGCCCACGTCAGCCGCCAGGCCACCAGAGCCACGGGAGTCAAATCCGCCGCCGTGCCTCCTGCACGGCAGAGGCATGTTAGAAGCTGGGCCGGCACGGGAACGGAAAGAGCTCCCTGTGGGGCCAGGGCCATGATGGTCGAGACACGTTTGCCGAAATGATGTTTCGGTGGGGCTCCGTGTGGGGCCAGGGCCACGGTCCTCGAGAGGGGTGTGCCGAAATGAAGCTTCGGTGGGCCTCCCTGTGGGGTCTGTGCCACGATCCTCGAGAGGGGTGTGCCGAAATGAAGCTTCGGAGGAGCTCCCTGTGAGGCCAGAAGCCCTATGGGATTCCTGTAAGATTCCTAAAAATATCCCACATAGGATTCGCAAAAGCCCTATAGGCTTCCCGCAGGATTCCTATAGGATTCGTAAAGGCACTATAATTCTTATAGGACTCCTATCCTATAGGACTCGCAGAGGCCCTATAGGATTCCCATAAGATGCCTACAGGATTCCTATAGGATTCGTGAAGGACCTCTAGGATTCCTAAAAGATTCCTATAATATTCCTAAAGGATTCGCGGAGCCCCTATGGGATACTCATACAAATTGTATAGGATTCCTATAGGATTCGCAGAGGCCATATAGGATTCCAATGGGAGTCCTGTAGGATATGTAAAGGCCCTCTGGGATCCCTATCATATTCCTATAATAAGAAAAGCCCTATAGGAATCCTATGAGAGTCCTATAGGCATCCTATAATATTCGCAGTGGCCCGATCGGAATCCTATAGGTGTACCATCGGATTCCTGTATGATTCGTAAAGGCCCTGTAGGGTTATTATGGGATTCCTATAGGATTCCTTTAGGGTTCGTAGAGGCCCTATAGGATTCCGATGGGATTCCTACAGGAATCGGAGAAACCCGATAGGATTCCCATCGGATTCCTGTCGGATTCCCATAGGATTCGCAGAGGCCCTATAGGGCTCCCATAGGATTCGTAGAGGCCCTGTAGGATTCCTGTGGGATTCCTGTAGGATTCCTATAAGAGTCGCGGAGACCGTATAAAGTTCCCATAGGACTCCTATAGGATTCGGGGTAACGTGCGTTGCATTGCGTTGCGTTGCGTTGCGCCGGGGGGGGTGGGGCCGGCGCCATTTAGTGGTTTCGTCAACAACAACAACAACAACAGCAACAACAGCAACAGCAACAACAACAGCAGCAGCAGCAACAACAACAACAATAACAACAACAACAACAACAACAACAGCAACACCAGCAACAACACCAACACCAACAACACCACCAACAGCAACAGCAACAGCAACAACAACAACAAAAGCAACAGCAACAACAACAACAACATCAACAACAACAACCACAACAACAACAACAATAACAACAACAACAACAACAACAACAACAACAACAAAAACAACAACAACAACAACAACGACACCGACACCGACACCGACACCGATACCAACACCAACACCCAACAACGCCGACGCAATAACAATCTTCTCCGCGGACTCCCACTTCGGGCTCCCAGAAGCACTGAATGACCGTTCGGCCCCCTCACCCCGATGAGAATAAGAAGAGGGGCAGGAGCAGCAGGAGAAATGGGAGGAGCTCGAGGGAGATGAGATGAAGCGGAGGGAAAGAAGGAAGAAGAGGACGAGGGAGAAGGCAGTCGAACTGCACACGACACCGCAGCGCCGCAAAAAAACAGTCGAACCCTAGAACCCGCGGCACGTCCGCGCGAAACGAGCTTCTGGCCTCCGTAGGTTGGGGAGGCAAGAAATCTAGGGTTGGCGAGCCTGTTTCCAAAGTACTGCTAACTAATGACCCATGGGGAGGAGCGTCAGAAGCCCGGTGGCAAAAAGAAGAAGGCAGTCAGCATGAAGAAATCAAAGGACGGAGCAGGCAGCAAAAGCAGGCGGAACGGCGACCAGGACGGAGGGGAGCAGGGAATCGAAAGGCAGCAGGGCAACAAAGAGAGAAGGCAGCTGAATCTGATAGCAGCGCGGACGCATTTCGCGCACTCAGGCCACTTGCACTGCGAGACCAGAGAGAGCTAGACTACAAGGGCATCGCATAGTGATAGTGTTTTTCCTTACGCACCTCCTCCCTGTCCTTCCTGACTCCTCCCCTCCCTCCCTCCTCCCCCTTCCCTCCTCTATCTCTACGCTTTCCATCGGTGTCCCTCCTCTCCCCCCCTCCACCCCTCCCCCCTCCTCCCACTCCAGCCTCCCTTGTCTTCCATCTAATCCCCATCTCATCGGTGACCCTCCCCTCCCCCCCACATCTCCCTTCCCCTGCCCGCCTCGACGCCCCCTGGCCAACCCCCTGCAGAGAGGATGAAGGGGGAGGCAAGACGCGAGAGGGGCGCTAAGGTGTCAGGCCGTCCAAGGGAAACAGGGCCGGCCAGCCAATCATACAGGCGCGCGAGTGCCCATTATTTGGACGCCCGAAATGGTACGGAAGAAATGGGTACAGTGCCCAACAACAAATGTGATCCAAAACTGACAGTGACCGCTGCTGGGCAGGCAGCCTCCTGTCTCAAACGGACACCGTCCGCGGCGACGCCGATAGCGAGTCCTGTTCAAAATGAACCGGAAATGCTGTTGGGCATCGTACCCAATCTTTCCGTACCCATTTCGACCGTCCCGAAACATGATACTTGACATTCGCTGGGCATGGAGGGTGAGCAGACAACCCGTCCCCGACAGGTCCTTCCCGCACGCGACTGCGCCTCCCTCCCTCCCCTGGCCGAGTGCGCTCGCGCACTCCCCGGTGGTCCTGGTCATGATGGAGAAATATCTCGTGAGCAGGAATAACAGATCAACCTGACCGGGGGTGGGGAGCAGAAGCGGAGAAGACGCATGGGCTGCGCGGACAAAGGGAAGGTAACTCGGCGACGAGGGCAGCACGGCGGAAGAGGCACCTCCACGACTCCTGCCAGCACTGAGACGGTCTCGTGTCAGAGCAGGGGCGGGCTCTCGTTCTCGGCATTCCCCTGGATCTCGAGGGGCATGGGAAGTTTGGGGCAAACAGCTGCACGGCCCGCGCCGAGCTTCAACGTGCTACTTTGATACAGCTCCACGTCTCTGCGCTTCTGACTTCGACTGCGCACTACGGCGATCACGCCGATGGGGTGATCGTCTAGTCACTTCTTCGGCCGATGCAAGCTTGTGTTCGCCTCGAGGCGTATAATCTCGCGCTCAATCACTCGAACGGCAACAATTACTCGCGCACACACACACCTATAAAAGCGACACCAGACGTCGGGGATCTTCTGACCCGGGTCAATCCAGACCCGGGTCAGCAGGAAACCAAAAACTGCAATGCAGGAAAAAAAACTGCAACGCAGATCTTCGCAAACCCGGGTCAGCCAATATGTGCGGCCGCCTCGCAACCACGAGCGGCTCGCTAACCCGGGTCAGACAGAAGGGGTCTTCGCAGGATCCTGCAGGATCTGGTGCCGTGGCTGACCCCCGTTTGCATTGACCCCCGTCTCAAGGCTCCCGAAGACGCCCGCCAGGTCACGGACCCAGCCCCGCCTTAGCGTTCAGATGGCCCAAGCCACCGGTCCGCCGCCCACGGCCACAAACGCACCGCCGCCACGGGCCGACGGCATGCCAGAATCTCCGGTACGAGGCTCTTAGATTCCCCTCCCCTAGTGTGCGCGCGCGCGTTTGCGAGGCGGGGGCTCATCCATGTCCACCGCCTGAGAACCGACGCCCTGGGGAGCCAGCGGGCGGTGGCTGTGGATACGGTTTGGCCATAGGGGGCCGGCATGTATATCTAGATCCGCCGCCTGTGGAGCTCCGAGAACATCGATCTCCTGCTGCGGTTCTGTTCAGGTCGGGCGTGTCCCCTTACAGGCAAATTTGGGGCTAGAAACAAGTAGCAGCCAAAAAATACTCAGAAATATTTACACGTAGTCGACAAAACGACCCCAGACTATTTTGTCCTATCTTTGAATACTCATCCTGTAGAGGGACGTACCCGACGTAAGGTTATGTATAAAGTCCACGCCTCGAATCGTTACAGCCCCGGGGGGCCCTGCCGAGAGGCACCGCGAGCGCAGGCCTGGCAGACGCTCCGTAGAGAAACCTGGGCTCGGCGCACAGGACCCCCAAAGTCGGGAGCGGCCAAGAGGGGGGTGTCCAAGAGGGGGGGTGCAAATCATGACCGGCGGCATGTGCGCGGCCCAGCGGGGGGGCCAGGGACGTAATGAAATGACAAGAGGCGCCATGAAATCTGGGGAAGTATCATGGCCCCCGCCATGATATCCACCCCCCCCTAGTCGTCACCCCCCTCTTTGCCGCCCCCGACACAGGACCCCCCAAGGACAGTCCCAGGATTGCCCCGGGAAGCCCCAAGAAAGCGCAAAAACGGCACGCGGGGCGGAACCCAATGGGCGGCGGGCCGCAGTGTGCTCCCGAGACAGTCCACGGATGCCTCAAGAGAGCCCCAACGTGGCCCAAGGCATCCCCAGAAGCCTGCAGGAGCCCCGAATGATTCACATACCATCCTTCGGGTGATAAGGAGGCTCGGGGGGAGGAACCAACGTTTCACTCAATCGATCTGACTATCGATCTCACGACCGATCTTGCTATCGCTCTCACGATCGATTTCACGGTCGATCTCACGATCGATCTCATTATCGATCTCACGATCGATCTGCCTATCGATATCACAATCGATCCCACTACAGACCTCACTATGGATCTCACTATCGGTCCAACTCGATCGATCTCAGTCGATCGATCTCACTATCTAGCCCACGATCAATCTCACGATCGATCTCGCTATCCTCTCAATATCGATCTCACGCTCGATCTCAATATCCCTCTCACTGTAAATCTCGCAGTCGATCTCACGATCGGTCCCACTATCGATCTCACTATCGACCTAACTGTCGAGCTCACTACCGATCTCACCATCGATCTCACAATCGATCTCACCATCCCTGTCACCATCGATCTCGCCCTCTGTCGACGTCACCATCGATCCCACCATCGATCGCACCATCGATCTCGCCATCCGCCTCACGATCGATCAGACCACCGACCTCACCGTCGACCTGCCTATCGATCTGCCTGAGGAGGAGGAGGAGGATCGGAGGAGGAGGAGGCGGAGGAGAAGGCGGAGGAGGAGGAGGAGGAGGAGGCGGGGGGAGAGGAGGAGGAGGAGGAGGGCGGGAGGAGGAGGAGGAGGAGGAGGAGGAGGAGGAGGAGGAGGAGGAGGGAGGAGGAGGAGGAGGAGGAGGGGGGGAAGGAGGAGGAGGAGGAGGCGGAGTCGATCTCGTGATCGATCTCGCCATCGCGGCATCGGCCTCCTCACGGGACACCGGCTCGACGCCGACGGGACGGCGGCCAGACACCCACGGCGGGCCGCCGCCGGCCGCCGCCGGCACCTCGGGGGGGGCCAGGGCGGTCTTGTGGCTCGGCGGCGCCCTCTAGCCGCTTGAGGGTTCGTTCCTCGCGCCCGCCCACGCCGCCTCGCCGCGCCTCGCACGAACGCACGCCAAGACCAAATCCGAAGCCGAGTTCCCGCTCGGGGGCCCTCTCCATCTCGCTGCGATCTCACCCCCCCGCCTCCGATGGTTTCTCGGTGCTTTTGGCTTGCGCAGCGGCGTTCTCGCTGGAAGTGGGGTTCTGAGGCCTTCAGGTGCCTCCAGGATCGAGGAGAAGTTCGAGACAGCTCCAAGGCCCCAGATCTCCGAGCCGTTCTGGGATCATCGCTGGCCTGCCTTGTTGCGCTCCTTCCAGGGCCTCCTGATCCCCCTTCAGGGTCGGCGAAACTGGCCGTAAGGCCTCGCCAATAATCCCGAAGTGGCCCAGAGTCTCCAAAACAGCCCCAAGAAACCTCCAGCAGGCAAATATCATTCAAAATCAGGACGGCCCGAAAAAGGCCCCAGAACCGACCACGAGAGGCCTCAAGGCGTTGCAGGCCACAAGACGGCCCCTCAACCACCCCCACATGCCCCCACAGGGGGGCCCCCCTGCGACCGTTCCCTGGACAGGTTCCAGCGGGGAACCCAGAACAATGCACTGACCAACCTGCAATGTGCGAGCTCATGCACGGCAACGCAACTAAGAAGGCGGGACAATACACTGATCGCGTGTGTGAATCTGTATAGTTATACCTATATACATACATAGTTCTACATAATATACAGATGAATGTACGCCATGAATGAATACGATTGCGTATGTGTGAATACATATATGCACGCATGTCTATGCTGCAAATACGCATGTACATTATATTTTTGCATACATAAGTGTAGATATATGTGTATCTATACATGTGTGTATGCCCTCCCCCTGACCAGACCGTGGGATTACGAAAACGCTGGCTCATACTCGCGGGTGCGACCATCCGTTCAAACGTGCCCTCCGAGGAAGGCGGTCTCTTCCTCATCCTCACCAAAACACTGCCCCCCAACGGCACTGTCCGCATCAACACACTACTCCGCCTCTGCAGCGTCATTAACTTCCATCAACATGCGTCGCTGTGCTGATCGGAAACAGCCTGCTTGAGGGACTCGGCAATGGGTGTAAAATTCGCGATGTCTGAGAACATAATGGTCACCTCGCGCAGAGCGGGGGGGGGCGGACACGGGCACGCGGGGTTGCTGCGAAGCCACGAGGCCGCCAACGAGCGCGGCATCTTACCCGCAGTGTCCCCCTCCCCCCCCCACACGCCGCCACCAACGGTGGCCCAAGCGTTCCGCTTGTCCTGGGGCGGTGACCTTCGGTCTGCTTCGACATGCGCCATCCTTGGCGGCGCGTCAATGCAAATCCAGCAATGGCGGCGAAGAGGAACCTGGCGGCACAGCTGCTGATTGTTGGTGAAACAATCGTTGCGATCGCAACGGCTAGAATTCGAATTTGGTGAAAATGATACCAGAGTAAAACAAAATCATTTGTTTGTAGGGCTATATGGCTATGGGGCTGTAGGGCTACAGGGCAATGGGGCTGCAAGCCTCTGGGACTATAGGGCTATAGGGCTATAGGGCTATAGGGCTATAGGGCTGTAAGGCTATAAGGCTACAGGGCTATAGGGCTATAGGGCTATAGGGCTATAGGGCTATCAGGGCTATCAGGGCTATAAGGCTATAGGGCTATAGGGTTATAGCGCTATAGGGCTATAGCGCTATGAGGCCACGAGGCTGTAAGGCTATAAGGCTATAGGGCTATTAGGGCTACCGGGCACCCGGGCGTGCCGCCGAAATCGGCGCCAAACCTCACCTAACCATATGAATATGCTAGGACCCCTACAGAGGCAAGCCCTGATTGGTGAAATATGCTTGCGCGAGGTGGAAGCAGCCCGAAACCAAGCAGGTGTTCGCATTGATTGCCAATTCAACAGGCCAGGCATGGAAATAAAGGTTCCACTGCTTGGTTTATTAACCACCATAATTCCAGAACGTCGACTACATCTGCTGAAAACTCAGGCGTGCCAGGCGTAGCCTGTGGATGTGCTACGAACACGACACAAAAACACCGGACAAATCTGTTCGCGGGGGGGGGGGGGGGCAACAGGCTTGGAAGACCACACTTTCGTGACAGAAGGTCACGTGTGTCTGCTGATGATTGCAAGTTCGTTGACGCAGGGTTCTGAAGTGTCCAGGTGTACCGCAGATCGTCACCACGGAGGCTCATGGTGCATCTGCCACAACGGTCAAAAGATCTGTGGACGTACGCCGGGCGGTCCTAACCAAGTCGTGTCCGGAGCACTCACGGGTGCCCGATGCTCGGGAGCAGCCAAGAGGGGGGTGTCCAAGAGGGGGGGTGCAAATCATGACCGGCGGCACGTGCGCGGCCCAGGGGGGGGGGGCCAAAGACGTCATGAAGCAAGAGGAGGCGCCACGAAGTCGGGGGAAAAACCGTGGCCATGGCCCCCGCCGTGACATCCACCCCCCCCTGGCCATCACCCCCCTCTCTGCCGCCCCCGAGATGCACGCGGGCGGCGCACATGCAGCCGGGGGCGCGGCACGGAGGGCACGAGCACGACGGGCGCGGCCCCCTCGAGGGAGCGCCGCGCGGCCGCGGCGGGGATGCCGGCAGCGACGACGGAGGCCCTGGCAGCGGCCAGGAGACGCGGCGACGACGCGGAGCTCCGGGCGGCGAGGCTGCCGCGCGCCGGCCCCTGCGGGGCCCGCACGGGGCGCGCCGGCGCCCCGGGGCCGCGCCGCGCGGCGCGGAGGTGCCCTCGTGGCGGAGGCCGCGCCCGGAGGCCCAAGGCCCGATCGGGCCCGCGAGCAGTGGAGAGGACGCCAGGCACCGGCGCGACGGAGGCAGGGGATGCTAGGGGGGAAACAAACCTACCTCGCTTTTGACCACCCTCGCTTCCAAGAGATACCAAGCGATGCCAAACTACGGCCTGTACTGGTCAGGCCGCTTGACGAGGAGGCGCGTGGTATGACTTGGTTTTTCCTGGAAGCGAAAGCGGGGTAGGTAATTCACGCTCTGGGATGCGGCAGGGTGGCCCAAGGCTGTCTCTGCCTCTCCGCCTCCGTCCCCTGCGTGTCTCCCTGCCTGCCTGCCCTGCCTGTCTGGCCGTCTCTGTCTCTGTCTCCATCTCTCTCTCTCTCTCTCTCTCTCTGTATTCCTGGCCCCGGGCCCGCCCACCCTTCCAGATTCCCCCCCCCCCACCCCACTCCCTTTCGGCACCGCAAATCTGCACCCCACCCGCGGCCTCCAGGGCCCGCCTGGGCGGCTTACAACAGCTGTGGAGGCCACCAAAAAGCAACCAGAGCGACCCAACAGGGCCGAAGATGCCCGAAGATTGTTCCAAGACTGCCAAAGAGGCTCAGAAGACACCCCAAGAAGGCTCCAAGATGCTCCCCGAGGGGGCCCCAGGAGGCCAAAATTGCCCCTTTCCGCTCGGGTGGAGCATATGATTTTAGCATCAGGTCTCACACTGTCCAAGACGGCCCAAGAGGCCCCCAGACGGCCCAAGAGGCCCCCCCCCCAGACGGCCCAAGAGGCCCCCCCCCACGAGGGCCCCAGGACGGCCCAAGAGGGCCACAAGACGGCCCAAGCGTCCCCCAAGACGGCCCGACAAGACCCCGGGAGGGGTCCCGAAGGGAGAACTCCAAATGAGATTTGGAGCCCCCCGCCGCAAGTGGGCCCCCGAGGCCGTCAGGCCCCGAAGGGCCCCAAAAGATGCCCCGATGGGGCTCCAGAGCGGTCCGCAAGAGGCCCCAAGAGGCTTCAAGATTCGCTCAGCGAGGCGCCTGAGGAGCATGCCAATATAGACCCCCAATCACAGGCATCCAAAGCATCAAGCTCAGACACGGTGGTGGGCGGTATGGGCTGGAGGCCATAGATCCGCTGCCCCCTGCTGGCTTGCCACAGAGGGTTGAGGGGCAACGATAGGATGGGCATGGGGGGGATGCATCGACCTGGAGTCTGCGATACATCGTCATCAGATCGGCGCTAGGCCCCCGATAGTGAATCCGCACCTTCCTGGGCGGGGTGGTGCCATCGGGTCCCTATCGGCGATCCATGGGCGATTGGGGGTCGATGCGTCCCCCCCTATGCCTATCCACCCCTATCGTGGTCCCCGAAGGGTGCACGGCGTGACAAAGTTTGCGGAGCGTTTGGTCCTCGTCAGAAATGCCCCTTTGTGGGCCTTCGGTCGATCGCGGCGGCCGTCCGGAAAGCCCCGGCAATCCCACCAGCTCTCTGCGGCGTGAGTGGTCTCGCCAGGTTCCTCTTCCAACCCAGGCCCCCTCGGGCAGTGAAAAGATCATGACGGCAAGTTGTACCTGCTCTTCGGCCTCTGGGGAGCCCTCACAGGGCCTGGGGACCGTCAAAAAACGACTCACTCGGGATGAGAAACCGGTCCCGGGGAGTGGGTCCAGACCTCTGGGGGTCGACGTATTAGAAAAAATCGTGACCGGCAGCCCACCAGGACCAAGGACAACCCCCCCACCATCTCTGTCAAAAAATACCAAGTACACTTCGGGGCAAAATAGTTTATCATAATCGTGGGCCCCGCGAGCACTTTGCACTGATGTTTTGAACAGGGACGGCTGGGAGGTTCATGTTGCCTGCTGTGCACAAGGCCGCCACCACTGTCAAAAATCAATACAAAATCCAAGTCGCGGCAGCTTCATCTGGATAACGCGCAACCACCCCGCAATCACAGTCCATTAGTTTTGATAAGGGCGGCGGGGATGCTGGCATTTGCCTGCTGTGCGCAGGCCCAGCAGACACTATGATGGCCTTCCCGCCGCGATTGTGCATTGGTTTTTGACAAGGATGGTGGGGACCGACATGTTTCCAGATGTGTGCTGTCACGTGCGCACCTGGCACACTCTGCGCGTGCCCCGAACGTGGCGCACCTGGCGCGGCTGGACCATGCAGCATGGCGCACGTAGAGCACGTGGCGCTGGGCGCGCCAGGCGAGCCTGGAACGCTTGGGCCCCCGGAGTGCCTGGCGCAGCTGACGCGAGTGGCGCTGCTGGCACGCGTAACGCAACACGCAGTCCACTCGCATGGCCGCACGTTCGATAAGCATTTCACGACACAGACGTTTCCAAAAGCAGGGGGCAGCAGTGACTCGTCCAAGGCGTTTCCGATAGTCAGGCCCTCGCTTCCGGAATTCCAGACTATGATAGCCAGCGTGGACCATGTGAGCGTTTTCTTATTCGGCGTTTCGACATTGGGCGGAAGGAAGGGGGGAGGGGGGATGCCTGGCTCCGGACCTCTGCCCGGTGCGACTGTTTGCAGCAGTGCGCCCTATGGGGGAGACTCCACCTGCTCGAAACAGGCGTCAAAAACAGCCAAGATCTACTCCATGGGGGGGGCGAGGGGATGCGAGAGCCCGCGCCGATCGGCAAAACAATGAATAAGAAAACGAACACCATAAACAATGAGTTATTGCAATGTTTGCGGTGCAATCTAGGCGGCGCAATCAATGTACTACAATCTTGATGGTGCCATCCATGTTGTGCCATCTATGTGGTCCATAGCAATACTGCAAAGCAATGCAAAGCAATGCAAAGCAATGCAAAGCAATGCAAAGCAATGCAAAGCAATGCAAAGCAATGCAAAGCAATGCAAAGCAATGCAACGCAACCTAAAGCAATGTAACGCCATGCAAAACAATGCAACGAACCGCAACACAATGCAACGCAATGCAACGAAATGCAACGCAATAGAACGCACTGCAACGCGATGCAACACAAAACAATGCAATGCAACACAATGCAATGCAAGCAATTACAACTCAATGAAAAACAATGCAAAGCAACGCGAAGCAACGCAAAGCAATGCTACGTACAGCAAATCAATGCAAAGCAATGCAAAGCAATGAAATGCGATGCAACGCAATGCAAAACAGTGCAAAGCAATACGCTTGCAATGCAAAGCACTAGACAACAGTTTAAAGCAATGAAAAGCAACGTATCACGTTGCGACGAAATGCAAAGCGATGCAAAGCAATGGAATCCAAAGCAGAGCAATCAAACACAACGGAAAGCAATGCGAGGTGATACAAAGCCATGCACAGCAACGCGAAGCCATGCGAAGCAATGCAGAGCAAGGCGAGCAATGCAGAGCATGCGACTGCAGTCGCAGTGCAGGGTGCACTGCGACTGCAAAGCAAATGCAGAGCTAACGGAAGACACTTCGCTGGCAGTGCGGCGCAGTGCGATGGCACTGCCATGCGATCGCAGTGTCACGGGGAATGGGGGTGCAACAGAGCGGCGGCGACGGCCACCGGGGCGGCGAAGGCAGGAGAGGCCCAGAATCGGATCGACGAGTCGGATGGGCGATCGAAAGGAATCGGGTCAGCGGACATCGACAGCCAAGTCGGGAGAAGTCGGATCGGCAGAGATCGGCAGGCTGGCAGGCCTCCATTACGGAATCGGAGTCCAAATTGGAATCCGAAGTCGAATCGAATCGGAATCGGGAACCGTCGAGGTCGAAGCGAATCGAGTCGGAGGAATCGAGACGAGCCGTGCGAAGGGGCCCAGCTCCCCCAGCTCCTGAGAAGGGAAGTAAGAACTCCTAGGTGCAAGCACTGCTTGGGGAACATCCCCTGGCCTGGCCAGAGAGGCCCACCTTCCTCAGCGTCGTCATCCTCCTCCTCGTCACCTCTCTGAGCCGCCCCCCCCCCCCCCCTGGCCGCGGCGGCCTCGCGCTGGGAGACATGAAGCCTGTGCAGGCGCGGGCGAGACGAAGACCGGCACAACGACGGGAGTGTGAACGGCAGCCCCGAGGTCGAGATCGCACAATCATCGCACGGCAGCCTGCCCGTCCGCTTGCAAACTGCACGTGCCAAACACGGCTTTCATCCGACTCACGACGACGCACATGCCTTTGCACAGAAAGGGTGGACCCAGCAGGTGGAGGAGACTCGGCATATGCAGCAACACACCGTAGGAATGGCAAGTATCAGAATACCACGTCCCCGGTACGTGGAGCTCGACTTTCGCATGCGGAAGGGGACCGAAGCGCCCCTGAAGCGAACGCACTTGGCCACTTGGCGCTTCGTCAGCGGAGGGAAAATGCAACAACCTGCGCCCCACACGCCAGCGTACGCGAGCCTCTGAAGCACGCAACTGGCTGGTCACATAGCACTGCCACATGCTAGCCGGCGGCACTACGCACGCAGCACGCAAGCACGAACACTCTTCCTCCGCTGGCCGAGAGGACACCATTGCAACGAGTGATCGCACAGGACACGAAAGCCACCGGGCTCAAGAGGTGGGTGGAACAAAACACCTTAGTGGGAAGATCACAGGCAGGTTCCCCGACCTGGATCTGAGGAACGGTCCGGAAAGGAGAGCCCGTCCCTAGCCCAGAGTGGTCCTTCTTGCAGCGTCTTGTCTGTAGTTGGTACAGGCCTTGCCGAGAAGGGGGGGGCGAAGGGGGAATACAAAAAAGCAGCTTAAAACAATTTAAACCATATTTTAAACATGGAGGGAGGGGGATAAGGTGCCAAGCCTGGACGTGGACATGTCAATGGATGGCAACTTCGTCACCCAGCATGTGGCGCCATGGGATTCAACATGGGCGGCCACGCCGGTCGACACGTGAAGGCTGTGATGGTCTGAAGCGCCCACTGGGACCGTAGGCAAATCTAGCTCAAACGGTGACCACGAGGGCAGGGGGGGGAGGAGGAAGGGGTACATAGAAAAGGATGGAGGGAGCGGGTACGTGGAGAAAGGAGAAGAAAAAGCCACAGTGCATAGCATCGACCAGTCAAAACGTGGCGCGCTCTCGGGCTTTTGCTCTGCGCTATGGTTCGCAACGCTGCGAAGACTGACGACAACACGAAGCCATGTAGAGCTCGCCGTGCTTCAACCGACGGTGCAGTCTGCCCGACTAGGTTTAAACGGTTGAGGCCGCCTCGTCACTTGAGCCCTTACTTGAACTCGCGATGCTTCGACGCTCTAACCCAGGCACCATTCACGCTGACATTCCACTTCAGACAAGACGCCACCCCAGTACACAAGGGGCCCGACCACAATAATCTTTCCACAAGAAACCAAGACCTGAGACCCCAGGACGTCCACTGAATTGTTGGCGCGGGAACATCGCGCCTTCCACAACAAAACCATCGAAACCAAGGAAGCCCAGGGCACCCTGGACGCAAGCAGGGTGTTTCTTGGCATGGGACCCCACTGTACAGCACCGTCGCTCACGGCTCGAAAGGAGGCGGAGGAGGAGGCGGAGGAGGAGGAGGCGGAAAAGGGGGAGGAGGTGGAGGAGGAGGAGGGGAAGGAGGAGGAGGAAGAGGAGGAGGAAACGAGGAGGCACTGGGAGAGATGGACACTGAGCGGAAGCGACGGCAGCAGCGGCGTTGTCATACCATGCGGCGAACATGGGGCGTGGGCCTCATTGCACGCTCGTCCCCGCGAACGATATCTCTGACCTGCGGGGCATCTGCAATCGACGCAAAGCGTTGCGCGACATCACCCCCTGGTGCAATCCGAGGCCGAGGCTGGCATGGCACACTATTGAACGGTCCGCATGTGAGCGCACCCTATGATAAGGTCAGCCTTCGCCGGGCGAGTCAGTGGGAACTGCTGCTGGGAAAAGAGAACACGGTGGATAAGTGTTGTGCGACCAACAACAGGGGATCGACAATGGTATGCACATGCATGTATATATGTATGTATATGTACATACGCCACCGTGCTTGCATCATGATTATGTCGGGCGTTCTAGGGCCGCCCACACGCGCACACAAACACGTATAATACTGTCCAGCGCTCGGTTCCGCCTCCAGACGGCGAAGACGGCCCTCAAGACAGCGCCCAAGACGGCCCAAGATGGCACCAAGACTGCCCAAGATGACCCAGGACGGCAGACGCGGCTCCAAAGCGGCACCATGACGACCCGGGAAACTTCCAAAACCGCAGGGCTCCAACAGGCCCTCCAGGAGAGGCCGAGAAGATAAAAAAACAAGTATGGTCCTAAGGTGGTTGAAGGAGTATGAGGTTCTCGCCTGTTTGAGGGTCCGACCGCCCAAGACGGCCCAAGAGGAGGCATCCAAGATAGCTCCAAAGCAGCCCATGAGCCCCCACAAGAGGGCCCCAAGTCGACCCATGAGGAAGGACATGACGCCCAGGAGGCGCCTCAGAGTGCACCCAGGCGGCCCCGAAGCACCCGAAGAGGGCACCAAGACGGCCCAGAGAGAGCCCCCAAGACGGCCTCCGAAGGCGGTAAAAGTGGCCTCAGTCAGGCAAGCGGGCGCTGGCCGAGCGCAAGCCTGCCCCTCCCACTGCGACCCAGCGCCGGGTTGCCCCTGCCCGTCGCTGGGTTCTTGGCCGGTCCGTTTTGCTGGGAAGGCCGAACTCGATGTTCCCTCTGCCCTCGCGTCGTCGAACTGGTCGCCGGAGATCGCCAAAATGGGCCGATAGGGGCCCCGTGTGCGACAAGGCCGGCAAACGCTGCTCCTCCTCCTCCTCCTCCTCCTCCTCCTCCTCCTCCTCCTCCTTTGCCTCCTCCTCTGCCTCCTCCTCCTCCTCCTCCTCCTCCTCCTCCTCCTCCTCCTCCTCTCCTCTCGTCATCATCATCATCATCATCATCATCATCATCATCATCATCATCATCATCATCATCATCATCATCATCATCATCAATCATCATCATCATCATCATCATCATCATCATCATCATCATCATCATCATCATCATCATCATCATCATCATCATCATCATCATCATCATCATCATCATCATCATCATCGTCATCATCATCATCATCATCACCATCATCACCATCATCATCAACATCATCATCATCATCATCATCATCATCACCACCACCATCATCATCATCATCATCATCATCATCATCGTCATGCTCTTCGCCTGCGTTGCTGGACGCGGCAAACCAGCGCCCGGGCCCGCGCAGCCATCGCACCTGGCAGCTCCGCGGCGCACCTTCGCGCGGCGGGGAAGTCCCGCCAGTCGCCGGCGGCCGCACCTCCCGCCGCGCCTCCAGCCCGCGGCCTCGCCGCCTGCCAGCATGCCTGGCGCTCGCCTGCCAGAGCCTGCGGAAGGGCGCCCTCGCTATGCTTAAGTCGGGCCTGTCCCCCAACAGGCGGATCTTGGGCGAGAAATTAAAGATACGCAGAAAAATACCCCCAAAATGCTTAACAATAATCAAAAAATCGTCCCCCGACTATTTTTTTACTATCTTGGAATATTCCTCCTGCAGACGGACAGGCCCGACTTCAGCCTGGCAGAGCCTGCGGAAGGGCGCCCTCGCAATGCCCCGCAAGGCTGGCCGCCAGAGTCAACCAGGAGCACACGCCGGTGATGTCGTCTGCATGCTGCACGAAGCCCCAAACCACCGCGTTGCGCGCTCGCCGCCTCTACGCTGTTCGCGGGCGGATAGGCCAGCCCCTGCCAGCCAGCGGAAATAACCATCTTCACGCCGCGCCCCCGACAGCGCAGATGCGCGTCGTACTTGGCGCTCTTGTCGTCGAGGCCGCTCAATAAGAGCAGAAGCGGTCCCCCACCGGAAAATAACCCGCGGTCCAACGCCCGCATAAATTCTTCAACCTGGAAGCCCATCTCGTTCATGGCCTGCGCGGCTGCATCCTGTGGAAGCATCGGCGGTATAAGCACCAGCGGCCTGGGCCCCGGCCCCTGCCAGCACGCCCTCGGCGCCGCCGAGCCTCCTGGTCAGCCGCAGTCTCTCTGTCCTCCGCTCTGCTCGTCTCCTCCGCTGGATCGAAGCACCAGCAGGCCCGCAGACCCGCGCCCGTGCGCCGAGGGCTCTGCGCACGGCCGCCCGCGGTGCTGTCCGACACGGGCGGCACGCCCGCAGCTCCGCGAGCACCGCCCGCCGCTCTGCGAGCTGCCCGCCGGCAGGGAGCCCCGCGGCCGCCCGCGCGACAGCGCCGGCATCAGCAGCGGAACGCCCCGTTGCGCCAGCACTGGAGGGCGCATGGAGCATCGGGTTTCGTTTCGAGCGCCGCCCCCCTCGAGACCTTTCGCGGGGCACGCCGTGACGCCCTCCGTGGGCGGCAGCCCGTGGAAGGCGCAGCGACCTCCGCCTGTCCACGCCACGAGCGCCAGGCCGAGCCCGGCCGCGCACGAGGCGGCACGAGCTCAGGCCAGGGAGGTGGCACGCCCCTCGTCTGCGGGGATGCCCTAGGGGCTTGCGCGCGGTCAGCGCCCGCGCAGGTTGGAAAGGAGCATCAACGAATGTGAAAAACCCGTTTGTCCTCTGCAGTCCCCCGTGCACGGCATACCTTCTAAGAGTCGCGCTCCTCGGAATTGGAGCGTAAATTGGGTGGCAAGTTTCACCTCAAGCTAAATGTTGGTTCGAGACCGATAGCAAACAAGTACCATAAGGGAAAGGTGAAAAAAAACTCCCCCGCCCGCACGAGGCTGCACGTGGTGGTCGTGCGGGCCTCACCCCAGCGCAGGGCACGAGCACCGACGCCCTGGGCAAACGCCTTGTGGCGCGGAAGGCCCGCATGCCTCGGGAGGTGCACCACGACAGAGCCCAGCACGGCTCACGCCTGCGGACCTCGAGAATCTGGCCCCGTTGGCGACGTGGAGAGCCCCGTGCCTGCAACACGCGCTGCCGTCCGCCCTCTCCGCACCGGGCGCCGCAGTCTGGATCGCCACCACGGCTCCCCGAGCTCCGCCCACGAGGCCCAGGCGCCATGGCCTCGACGCCCCACAGGCGGCGGTGCGTCAACACATCACGCGCGCGCCCCGACGCAGAACATGCGCCGCCTCGCGGACACTCCGACACTCCTCCGCCTGCTTGTGCTCCCCTCCTCCTTGGGTACGGCGCGCCTCGCACCTCGCAACAGGGCGGGCCGAGCTGGCAGAGCCTGGCCCTCACACGCCGTGCAAGTCTAACATTAGGTCGGGCCTGTCCTCCTACAGGAGGATTTTGGACGAAAAATAAAAAATAGTTTTCAAACATACCCCAAAGCTGGTCAAATAGTACCCCAAAAATTGTCCCCAGACTATTGTTTGACTATTCTTGGACATTCCTCCTGTAGAGGGACAAGCCCGACTCGAGTCCAGCAGCAGCAGCATGACTGCAGGCCCGAGCGCTCTCCAAAGCGGCCAGCACGGCCTCTCGCGCGGCACGGACGCGCCACTGCGACCACGGGCGAGCGCTGCTCCGACCGTCTCACCGTCTGGTCGTGTGCCACCGCACGGGCAGGGCAACCACGCGACGACCACGCAGCTGATCGCGGGACGGCCCCGCGCAACCACGCGACGGCTACGGGACAACAGCGGAACCACCACGGGACAGCCACAGGGCAGCCACAAGACATCCGCGAACAAGGGCAGCCACAAGACATCCGCGAACGATCACCGCGGGACAGACAACCACGGGACAACCACGGAACAACGGCGGAACGCACAGCCAGAGGACAATCGCGGGACAACCACAAAGGAACCACAGGAGATTCGCTGGACAGCCGCGGGACAACCTGAATTCCCCGCACGGGGGACTGTCAAAAAGAAGCAGAAGCATCCGGGAAGAAAAATCAAGCACAGCAAAACAAAAAAACATTTAAAAACGTCCCCATACGATTGTTCTTGCCACTTTTGAAGATTCCTCCTGGAGAGGGACAGGCTCGGCTTCATGCTCGGGGGGGCACGGCGGCGCCCCTCCTGGAGAGGGCCAGGTTCGGCTTAATGCTCGGGGGGGCACGGCGGCGCCCGGCGCGGCGGCGGCGGCCGGGGGGCGGCGGCGGTGCCCCCGCTGGAGGCGGGGCCGCAGAACGGTGGGCGCGGAGGCGGCCATCCTCAGAAGCCAGCCTCGAACGCATCCCCGCCCCGCAGATTGACACAGGGCTGGACCTGAACGCTGTCATTCGTGTTGGATTCGTTTGCGTGTCGCGTTGCTCTGCCCGCTGTCCTGCGCCTCCCTGCCAGAACAAAGAACAGAACACAGCCCAAGTCCAGCAAAGCAGCGTTTAGGTCCAGCCCTGGATTGACGAGTCCAACGGCGACGACAATATCTTGGGGATGCGCCCCGAGAAACCGAGGAAACCCCTAAGGTCGGCATCGATATAGGGCGATGCTGAACACAGAGATGGGGATATGCCTCAGGCTGGTAAGCCGAGGGGGCAAGGGAACTCCAGAAACAAAAACTGCTGGAGGTCCCCACGGAGTGCGTGGGTCGACACTGGACCCCAACCTCCTCCTCCTCCTCCTCCTCCTCCTCCTCCTCCTCCTCCTCCTCCTCCTCCTCCTCCTCCCCCTTCCTTCTCCTCCTCCTCCTCCTCCTCCTCCTCCTCCTCGTCCTCCTCCTCTCCTCCTCCTCCTCCTCCTCCTCGCTCCCTCCTCCTCCTCCTCCTCATCCTCCTCCTCCTCCTCCTCCTCCTCCTCCTCCTCCTCCTCCTCCTCCTCCTCCTCCTCCTCCTCCTCCTCCTCCTCCTCCTCCTCCTCCTCCTCCTCCTCCCTCCTCCTCCTCATCCTCCTCCTCCTCCTCCTCCTCCTCCTCCTCCTCCTCCTCCTCCTCCTCCTCTCTCCTCCTCCTCCTCCTCCTCCTCCTCCTCCTACTCCTCCTCCTCCCTCATCCTCCTCCTCCTCCTCCTCCTCCTCCTCCTCCTCTCCTCCTCCTCCTCCTCCTCCTCCTCCCCTCCTCTCCTCCTCCTCCTCCTCCTCCTCCTCCTCCTCCTCCTCCTCCTCCTCCTCCTCCTCCTCCTCCTCCTCCTCCTCCTCCTCCTCCTCCTCCTCTCCTCCTCCTCCTCCTCCTCCTCCTCCTCCTCCTCCTCCTCTCCTCCTCCTCCTCCTCCTCCTCCTCCTCCTCCTCCTCCTCCCTCCTCCTCCTCCTCCTCCTCCTCCTCCTCCTCCTCCTCCTCCTCCTCCTCCTCCTCCTCCTCCCTCCCCGGCGCGCGGGACGCGCCAGGGGCAGCGCCGGAGGCCCTGCCACGGGGCTCCGGCGCCCCGATCCGAGAACTCAGCGCGGACCCCCAACAATGTATTATTATGTCATTCTCTGTCGGGCAGACGTAAGCCTCGGGCTCGGGGGGTTCGACTTGGCTTTCTGGAAACACCATAAGAACGGCGAGACCCAACATGAAATTTGGCGCGAAGTCCCACTGCAGACATCCCGCGAAAAACGGGACCGTCAAAACCCAAGACGCGCTCGTCAAATAGCGCCAGCAGAAACGAGTCCTGGCGTACTCGAAGCTCACGTTTCCCCGACATCCCTTGTTCCTGAGGAGGCCCAGGCGAGCGCGCGTCGAAGGGACAGGGAGTGGCACAGCGCTCGCACAGCCACAGCCCCGCACCCAAGCAGCCAATGGCTGCCGACGCGGGGAAACTCGTCGGAGAAGTCCGCAGTTTCGAGCTGGCGCCCTTCGTGCTGCCCGGGTCAAAGGGCCGCCTCCAGTGGCTTCGAGGCACCGCTCGACATCAGGGACAGCACGTCCTCGTCCACCAGGCCAGTTCTGCTCGCGGCGCCTTGCCCGTCCCGCTCCGCGGGCACGAGCAGGGCCTGCGAGCTGTAGATCGCTCCGACTGGTCCGAAGCAGTGGCCGAGCCTCGCGATCTAGATCCCCTTGCCGCGCGCGGACGCCTGGGCCTTCGCGTTCGTGCCCGCGCCGCTCGTCGGCGTCACCCAGGGGGGACAGGCTCGGCGAGGCGCCCGACGCTGCGCGCCCTTCCTTAGGCGTGCAGCTGCAGCCTCTCGCAACGAAAGCTCCGACACGCAGAAGCGTCTGACCACGCTCCTCCTCTCCTCCTCCTACCCCTCCTCCTCCTACTCCTACTCCTCCTCCACCTCCTCCGTCTCCTTCTCTCCCTCCCACCCGCCCTACCCACCCTCCTCGTCGTCCTCCTCCTCCTCCTCCTCCTCCTCCTCCTCCTGCTCCTGCTCTTGCTCCTGCTCCTCCATTGCTGATCCTTTTAGACAACTTCTGCCTGTCGCACCCCGAAGCCAGTTCTTAGGGCGGGCCAGGCGTTTTGCCTGAGACTTCCTCACCATGTATGACTCTGAAGCATTGGCAGCATTTTCACTAATGCAGGGCGGGTGGTTCTTTAAATGTGCAGAGATGATGATCTCGCCCGATGGCTTCTTCTCGAGCCATAAGACCTTTGGCGGGAACGCCCCGCTCCTGTCAGTCCAGCCCTGCACGGGCCTTGCACAGGGGGCCTCTTCGGGCCCAATTCATGCTCTAGGGCCTCCACGGGCCCGCCGCTCGCGCCAGGGCCTCTTCGGGCCCTGGCCTACACTCTGGCCGCCTCGGGAGGGGCCGTACACTCACTGACGCCTGCACGCCCCAACGGCGCCTCGTCGAGGCACGTCACCTCGTTCACCTTGCCATAGGCCGCAAGCTCGTTCTCACCCGTGGCTTGCCTCGGGCAGCACCATGAACCTCGGCGTCGCGTACTTCCACTTGTATGTGCACGGCGATTGACTCGCCTTCTCCTCCGTCATCGGCTTGTCCGTGAACCTCGCCTTGTTGATCAGCTCCTTGCTCCGATTCGGGGTATTCGCATGCTTGACCAGCTTTAGCTCCGTGGAGCTCTTCATCGTCGTCCACTTCTCGCGGCTCCAACACCCGAGCAGTGCACCTGCCGCGAATGTCATCATCAGCACGCTCAGGATGATCAGTGTCATATGGTCACCGATCCAGTCCTGCAGCTTTGTCGCCTCCCAGGCCAGGGGGCAACTGCGCGCTGGCCGAGCTCTCGCGCTGCACATTCGCTTGATATCGTCGCACCACCGATCACTCCTTGCGCGAGTAGTGTCGCCAGCAACCCCTGCTTAGCCCAGGCGCTCGTTGTTACCGAGCATGCCTCCAGCTCCTTGTGCTCATCCATCTCGCTGCAGTCGATGATGCCAGCGAGCTCTCGCAGGTACTCGAACCGCTCTGTGGTGTGCGCTTTGGTTCCCAGGTCGGCCATGTTCTTGGTTCCGCTCTCCTTCTTGATGTTCAGTCCGTGAACCTTCCGCTCCTGCTGGATCCACAGCGCCCGAACGTCCAGGTGCTTCACCTTGCCGACGCCCTCGCGGTTGATCATCGCCTTCGCGGCGCTGCTGTCGATCCCGAGCTCCCAGGCCACCTCGTAGCCCAACCACTCCAGCATGTTCTTCACCAGCTTGCCGTCCATCACCACCGAGGTCGCGCCGTAGAGCTCCGCCTCGCCTGAGGATGCACTCTGAACTCCTTGCCTCCTCGCCAACGCTGCGAAGTGCACCCCGTCCAGCTTTGTGATCCCACAGGTCATCGCACGCCTCGTCTCCTTGCACGTCGCAAAGTCCGCGTCCGTGAACAACTGCAGCTTCACCTCTCCAGGCTTGCTCCCAGTTGGCTTCTCCAAAAGTACTCCGAACGTCTGTGTCCCCTTCAAGTACCGCAGCAGCTTCACCGAGCGCTTCCTGTCAAACTCCGTCGGCTGACTCAGGTTCCTGGTCAGCAGCTGCACGCCCCGCCTGATGTCCGCTCTGTCGGGCGAGATGTAGAGCGCGATCCCAACTCCTGTGCGAAACTTCGCCCTCTCGATCTCGTCCAAGTCGGGGCTCCATGTCGGGCCCTCCTCAGTCAAGCTCGGCACCTTCGCTGGCTTGGCCTTCTCCATGCCCATCACGTAAATCAGGTCGTCGATGTGCTTCACGCTCGGCCTCAGCATGATGTTGCCGTTCATGAGCCTCAGCCTGTCGCGCTTCAAGTGCGAGTGGCGTCCTTGCCTGATGACGTCCGTCGCCTTCAGGTCGAACACCTCCCGCAGCGGTCTGATGACCCCGTCCAGGTTGCCGATTGGACCCTCTCCGTGGAAGCCGTCCATGTGCACCTCGATCAGGATCTCCTTCTCCCTGCGGTAGTAGAACTGCGGCTGACACTCACTCCTGTCGAAGCCCGCCCCCATCAGAGTCTTCGCCGCCTTGTCTACCCAGCCAGCGTCTGCCACACGCTGCCCAGGTAGCATCTTGTCTAGCGCCCAAACAATGTCGGTCGGCTTGCCCATCTCCGCCAAGATCGCCAGATACTCAGCAGGTGGCCCCACGCGAACCTTCTCCGTCTGGTCCGCTTGGTAGTACGCCTTCACGCAGTCTGCGATGAAGGTCCCGTGGTTCTCCTCCTTGATGCTGACGAAGTCCACCAGCCTGCTCGTCTGTGCTGACGAACTCGCTGCGAACACGTCGTCGCGCTGCTCCATCCACTTGAACTCCTGCGCCACATACCGCCACTTGCAGATACATCCTCGCATCTGCGGCTCCCGGCGCGCCTTGATCTTCTTGAACTCGCCGCTCTCGCTCGATGTCCCTGTGAACACCATAGTGCGCCAGCACCTCTAGTGCTTCGCGCTTGCCTTCGAGTTCCACCGCGGGCTCCAGTCCGCTGACCGTCACGTAGCAGTCTGTGCCCATCCTGTCCAGGATGCTGTAATCGATAGGGTCGTCGAGCGAGATTGCGTCCACGTGCTTCGCGCGCTTGCCTGGTGCGCCGAAGTCCTCAGCATCGGCAGGTCTGATCAGCCCTCGGGGTGTCATCGGCACGTCCGCATCCGTCGTGCTCTTCCCCTCTGGCCTTGCCGCCGCTGCCGCTCCAACTCCAGGTCCCGCAGGTGCTAGCGATGGCTCCGCGCTCGCTGCTGCAGCCGGCCGCGCCCCCTGCTCGGGCGCCCCCTGGGGTGGCGTCGCCTCTCGCGCTGCCTCCTGCGCCTCAATCTCCGCCTTCTGCTCCGCCGCCGTCAGAACGATCGTGGGCATCGGCCTCTGAATCCTGGGCAGTAGCTCGCACGGCTTGGCGCTCCTCGCGCCCCAGGGTAGGGCCTCCACTGCCTTCGTCAGCTTGTCGTCTGCTCGCAACGCTGGCCCCAGCCGCCTGCATGTTCTCGCGCGGTGCCAGCCTGCTGGCGTCAAGAACAAGTGGTCGTCGCTCTCTTTGTGCTTCCCGACCCAGATGCCCTCCACGAAACTCGACTCGCCCTTGCGCTTCAGAGACGTGGTCGTGATCTCCCTCGTGTGGGAGATCGGGGTCTTGAAGAGAGCCGTCTCACCAAAGGGGGGAATCTCTCCGTTGTAGGTCGCTCCGTAGGCTGCCTGATGGGATGTCCTCCCATCGGCTCGTGGTCTGTACGTAGAGGTAGCCCAGCTAACGTATCGCGTAAGCCAGCACCAAATCGGTGCGTCCGCTGCGATCCTCATGCCATAGCGCTTCTCCAAGTCGAATGTGTACGTCCTAACCTTCGCCTGAAACCATCTGATCGGAGCCTCGATCGCGCCCATGCTCTGGCTGTCCTTCAGGTTCCCACGCTTCTCCTCCAGCTTGATGCTCTTGTTCAGCTTCTTCCGCACCTCCTCCACCAAGTTCACGATCGCGGGCTCGCCAACCGTCTTGATGTCCGCCGTCGTGAGATGCATGCCCTCGATGAAGCTGCTCACGCTGGCTATTGCGTAGTCCGTGACCGCCTTGGTGGGCATCGAAACTGCGTTGAACATCAGCGTGTCCCTGTCCGCCATCACGAGCGTCGTCGCGAAGATGTCCGCCGCTGGCGGCTCCACCTCTCCGATCTCCGCCCAGTCGCCGTTGGTCTTCAGGTAGCAGAAGTCCATGGTGATCTGAGCTTTCCCAGTGTCCTTCTGGTCGAATGTGAGGGTCTTGTGCGGCATGGTCGTCTCGTTCCCTCGCGCGCAGGCTTCGCACCACGGCGCCCTCGTGAGGTGAAGCAGTTCATGAGCTGCTCGGTCTGCATCCGTGGGCGCTGCTGGCCCTGCTACTTCTCGTGGTGCTATCGAGGGTCCTCCTTGAACGGACTCCTCGTGCCTGCGCTCCAGCTCCTTCATCTTCATGTGGTGTGCCGTGAGCCTCCGCTCCGCGTCGCTGAGCCTAGCCCACAGCTCGTCCTTCCTGCCGCAGATCGGCTGGCCTATCTCCTTGAGCCTCGCCCGCATGTCCTCCACGCGGCTCGAAGGGTGCAGGACGATCTCCTGCCCTTCGCGTAGTAGCACAGGACGTCGAGCCAGTCGCTCTCCTCCTGCGCCCCCAGCTGCTCCATCTCGCGCTGGATCCGCTGCAGCAGCCGCAGGTGCAGCCGGCGCCGCTGCCGCCGCTCCGCTGCCCGCAGCCCCAGGCGTCGGCACGAACGCCTCCTCCTGCTGCTCATTCGCGTTCACGCTGGCCGCAAACTCCTTCGCCTCCGTCGCTGTCTTGAAGGTCTTTGCGTTGAAGCCCAACGTGTTGTTCTTCCTGGTGAGCGGGATGCCCTTGCTGAGGTCACCGCCAGGGTACATGCACATGCCCGTCTTCGCGATCAGCCAGAACTCGGCACCCTTGTCCATCACCTCCAGCAACGAGAGGATCGGCTTCGATACCGCGTCACCCAGCCTGAAGTCCGCCTTAAGCAGCTTTGGCTGCTCGCAGTCGTCGACAACAGCCATTGGCACCGTCGCAATGGAGTCCATCTTGATCTCCTTCCGCTGCGCATCCAGCTGCCTCGGTCCTCGACCCTCGCCTTCCTTGCAACCTTCTCCGAAGCAAATCGCCCCCACGTGGCAGTCGCTCGCCGTGTCCAGCGCGATGAAGGTCGTCTCCTCGAGCTCCATGCCGCAGCACTCCGTCTCGGGATCCTCCGCCTTCATCGCCATGCAGTAGAGCTGGTCGTCGTCGCAGATCTCGCACTCGTACTCCGCGTACTCTATCTTGCCCACCGTCTTCGGGTCCGTGCTCTCCTGCTCGATAGCTGCATTACCCTTTGCCTTCTCATCGGCGATCCGCTTCTTGCAGTCCGCCTTCTTGTGGCCTGTCTTGTGACAATAGTCGCACTTTCCCGTGAACGTGTAGCCATCCTTGCCTTTGCCCTTGGCGTCCTTTCCGCCCTTAGATCCCGCTCCTGCTCATCGACCTGTTCCGTCGCCCTTCTGCTTGCCCTTGTCGCGCCAGAAGCAGTCGCGGGCCGCGTGGCTCGGCTTGCGGCAGATCTGGCACTTGTCCTTGCCGTCCTTGCCCTTGGAGATCGCGTCGACGCCCATGTCATTGCTCCCCCTGTTCGCTGTCGGCGGCTTCGCGACCACTCCACTCTGGCCGATCACCGCCTCGAAGATGCAGTTCCTCATCTGCGTGATGTCGCTGCGCACCTCGCGCTGCGCCGAGCGTAGCATGACCCTCACCACCTCGGGCGCGTGGGCCATGATCGCGCTCGTCTTCATGTTTTGCGCGACCTGCTCTCCAGTCGCGCGCTCATACCTCGAGATCAGCTCGTCCCAGGCGATGAGCACCTCCGTGAAGCGCTCCTTGCCTTCGCGATCCTTCCACCACAGCGGCGTCAAGATCTGCTGGAGCATCTGGCCGTGCTCCTCGTTCAGCCGCGGACGGTACTCCTTGTACAGCCTCCGCATCGCCTCGAAGCCATCGCCTCGTGGGCAGAGCTTGACGATGCTCTGCGCCGTGCCCTTCGTGGTGCTCGCCAGCAGGTGGTACAAGCTCCTGCCGACCCGCACTCCTTGCTCGCCGAGGTCGTCCGCCGTCAGCGGCTCCTCAGCCTCTCGCGACCTGTCCGGGCCCGCCGTCCAGCCCAGCAGACCGCAGAAGGACTCGAACGGGAAGATCCAATCTTCGAAGTCCTCCCTCTTGCCCGAAAACGTCGGCACCTTGCCGACTCCACGTGAATCCAGCAGCTGCACCCCAGCTGCTCCAACGTCGGCCGCCATGGCGCGCTGGCGCCACTAACCTGAAGGGTAGGTTCAGGCAACCTCACATGCCTGTCACCATGCAGAGATGATGATCTCGCCCGATGGCTTCTTCTCGAGCCATAAGACCTTTGGCGGGAACGCCCCGCTCCTCTCAGTCCAGCCCTGCACGGGCCTTGCACAGGGGGCCTCTTCGGGCCCAATTCATGCTCTAGGGCCTCCACGGGCCCGCCGCTCGCGCCAGGGCCTCTTCGGGCCCTGGCCTAAACTCTGGCCGCCTCGGGAGGGACCGTATACTCACTGACGCCTGCAAAATGTGGCTCTCGCCTTAGCGCCGCGCACATTCGCTCTCAAAATGAGCAAGAGTTTCTCCTATTGAAGACGGGTGGCTTTCAAAATGTGGCTCTCGTCTTAGCGCCGCGCACAATCGTCTTCCAAATTTGCAAAACAGCTTCAAGGAATGAGGGCGGGCCGGTTTCACAATGTGGCTCTCGCCTGACAGCGCGTACATTCGTCTTCAAATTTGCGAGAGATTCACGGATGGAGGGCGGTCCGTTTTCAAACTGTGGCTCTCGCCTCAGCAACGCGCATATTCCGCTCCTCAAAATTGCAAGAGCACGGATTCCCATGAGCAACGCACCAGAAGTTGTGTTTTGGAGGGGATCAAGATTATGAGGGTGCAAGTCTTACGTTGATTGGCGGTGTTCAAGTCCCAGGACTGGCGTTCTGGCACGATTCAGGATCGTCAAGACGCAACAGTCAGGTTGATCCGTGGCGTTGGAATCCCGAGAACAATGTGTTGGCATAGTTCAGGGTCTTCAAACGGTTCTCTCAGAAACTCCCCCACTGGGAATGAAACGTTTCAGGGGCCCATGAACAGGGAGCTTGGAGGGAGGGCGTATTCCAACATCGTTGCTGACTCTTGAATCTACACTGGTCTTCCTCCTAGTCCTGGCCCTCCTCCTCCCCCTCCTCCTCCTCCTCCCCCTCCTCCTCCCCCTCCTCCTCCTCCTTCCCTCCTCCTCCTCCTCACCCTCCTCCTCCTCCTGTCGGGCGCACGCTAACATGGATTCTGGCGCGTGGGCGCCAGATCCACGGATCGGGGAAGGTAGCCCCGAAGCACGAAACCAAAGCCACCTGATCTGGCGACGGAACGCGCCGATTGCATACGGAAACGGGGCCGTCGCCTCCATGCTTGCGCTTCCTCGGTTCACCACCTCCTCCTCCTCCTCCCTCCTCCTCCTCCTCCTCCTCCTCCTCCTCCTCATCATCATCATCATCATCATCATCATCATCAGCATCATTATCAGCATCAGCATCAGCATCAGCATCATCATCATCATCATCATCATCATCATCATCAGCATCATCGTCAGCATCATCATCAGCATCATCATCTGCATGCATCTGCATCCGCATCAGCATCATCAGCATCATCAGCATCATCATCATCCTCATCATCCTCCTCCTCCTCATCATCATCATCATCATCATCATCATCATCATCATCATCATCATCATCATCATCATCATCATCATCATCATCATCATCATCATCATCATCATCCCCCTCATCTCGTCCTCCTCCTCCGCTTGATCATCATCCTCATCCTCATCCTCATCACCATCACTATTCATCACCATCACCATGCTTCTCATCATCATCACCAGCATCACCAGCAACAGCAGCAGCGTCAGCATCATCATCGCCTCTATCCTCCCCCCCTTCCTGCGCGTGCGGACAAGCGCCTCGTGCCTCCTCCTCCTCGTCCTCCTCATGCTCCTCATTCTCCGCCGTCGTTTCCTCCTCGTCCTCCATCCTCCCTCCCGCCCTCGTCCGCTTCCCCCCTCCGCCTCCCCACCCCACTCTTCACACCCCTTGTCTCCCTGAAGCGGAAGCGGAGCAGGAACCACACTATTGGGCACGTAGCGCTTGAACATCTGGGAGCAACGGGGATTCGGCGAGGCGGCGAGGTGCACAGTCGCAGCTCGAAGATGGAGGAGGACAAGGACGAGACCAGCGAGGATGAGCAGGAGCCGAAAGAGGAGGAGGGATGGGAAGAAAGGGAGAAAGAAAGGAACAGGAGGATGGAACACACTAGTCTTAGGAGAGGGCGCCCTCGCACATGGCCTCCTCAGAGCCCACCACGTTCGCCAACATCGACCGCCCCAGCGGCCCCCTCGGGGGCCCAATCCAGCTTCTGCATTCTCGGGCCTTCGGGGGCCAGCGCTCGCGACTGCTCGGGCTGCCTTCTACCGACAGACCCAGCGGCCCCCTCGGGGGCCAACGGGCCGCGAGGGCTGGGCGCCCTGCCCCGCGCCACGGTTCCAGCGCGACGGTGCTCACTGCTATGAATTGCGATTCCTGCTTCCTCGCCTGCAAATTATTACTGAACGCGCAAAACGCACTGGGCCAGAAGCGACGCATCCTCACCTCCGCCGGGGGCTCCCAGCTCGCGCCCCCGAGGCAACGGTGCCTCGAGAAGGATGCCGGACTCGCGCCCCCGAGACCAGTACCCCCCATGCAGCCCAACGAACTCGCACTCCCGACGCCGCAGCCCCCGGCTCATCGCGACGACGCGCGCCCCCGACACCACGACCCTGCATCATCTGCGACAAACCCGCTCCCGAGGCCGCAGCCCGCCGGGAATGGCGCGGCGCTCGCGATCCCGAGGCCCAACCCCATGTAAATTACAGCTGGTTGGCGACCCCGAGGCCACAATCCCTCCTCAACTACATCGCGCTCGCGCCCCCGAGGCCACGATCCCAAGCAAAATGCAACGCCGTCGCGTTCTCGGGGCCACGAACTGCAAATTACCGCGACATCGCGCTCCAGATGCAAAAACCCATTGCCATGTGCCACACGTTCGGGCCCCGCGCCTTCCCCGCATTGAAACGAAGTCACGCCACCTGGGCCGCATGGAGGAGGCCCTGCATAATGTCTCGCACACTGATGTCGTCTGTCCCCGACACGGCGGGGATTTGTCCACGCGCGCGGCCCCACATTCCTCTGTTTAAACATGCCAGGGGATGGCCCGGGGCTAACTCCCTGGATTTTCTACGGCGGATGTCCCCGCCAGGCAGATTGCCTTTCATTTGCATCTGGCTGCTTCACGTGCAACTGCGCAGACGAAATGCGACCGCCAGTTTGGCCAGGCATGCCATCGCCGTGGACCGCGTGCCCCTCAGACAGGCGCACCATAACTCCGACAAGGGCGCCCCTGGCCCCAGGGCCCTCGGACGGCCCCAAACCAACGACACGTCAAGCAAACTCCGCCGCAGGCGCCACCCGGAGGACCCATGGTCGAGCGCCCAGGGCGGCTGCAGCAAAGCGCCCTCCTCGGGCGAAAGCGAGCTCGGCCCTGCTGGCCCGGGACGCAGACGGGCCGCGCTCGCGATCGCCCAGCCACCTGACCGTGGAAGCCGCCCTGGAGCAACTCCTGCAAATTTGGCGGACCAGCCCCGGGGCCCACAGACAATCCCCCCGGAACCGAAGAGCGCCTGCGCGATCAACTTTTCCGCAGGGACCCCAAGAACCCGATCCCCGCAATGTCATTGGCGAGCTCAGTGGCGAGAGGCTCGATGCGCCATGGCGCATCGAGCCTCTCACCACTCAGCCCACAACTGCGGCCGACGACGCCAGTTGCACCGCGGCCCGCGCCAGAAAAAAAAATAACATCTCGTTCGAAGCCCCAGCTGACATGCCAAATCACTCGCATCCGCCTCTGGGTCCGAATGCGACAGTGCCCCGAGCTTCGCGAAATAGCCCGCCCATGAGTTCCCGAGCCACCACCCCGGTGGCATTTCAGGAGACTGCGACACGGACGGATGGATCTCCAGGTGGGCAGGGGCCCCATCAAAGTCTGGCGGGCGCCGCGACACGACCCTCCGAGGCGCTCTGCGCCCGATCGACGCGGGGGGCCCGCGGGCCTCGGCAAGACTGGGGCCCCAAGATTTGCCCTCCTGGACTGCCCCCACACAGTCAGGCACAAACGAGCGAACCTCAAGGGGAAAAGCGACGCACTGCAAAATCCCAGCCCCCTCTCGGCAGCCCCCACAATCCAGTTCGCCCCCTGGAAGGCAGCGCGCCGCGCGAGCCGAACGCCCCCCCGCCCCTACCTGGGGTGCCGCCCATCCGCCCCCGGAGGCCGAATCAGGCCAGAATCCAAGACTAAAATAGACCCTCCATCTCCCCAAGAAAAAAGGGGACTCCACTGCGACAGGCGGGCGCGGTTTCGGGCGCCTCGAGGGCCTAATGGAACGCTCCAGGAGGCCCCGGCATTCACGCCAAATATTGACAACACGCTCAGACGCGAATTCCTCAGTCGTTCAAACTCCTCATGCCAGGGCGGCAAGCCCTTGCACTCATCCGCGCCCAGCCGCAGCGGGCAAGCGTTAAACAGGTGGCCAGACGCCCCCATCGAGGTCGCGAGCAGCACAACCGGGCGAAAGCAGACGGGCGTGCCGACCCGATTCCTGGAGCAGGGCTTCGACACCGAAATGAAGCCACCTGATCGCAACTTGCGAGGAGCCCCTGCCGTCTGCGGCGCGCGCAACGCCACCTCGCGCCGCCCGGCGACGAGGGAAATCGCCCTCATCCAGATCCCCTCGCCCCCCTCCAGGTGCTCACCCTGGAGGGGGGCGAGGGGATCTGTCTGATATCTGGCGAAACTGCCAACCCTGAAATCCTCCCATCAAGGCCTGCCTGATCTCGACGGGCGACGCTTGCAGCGAAGACAGGATCTGCCCCTCTCTGGACTCGATGATCGCGCTCCTGAGCACGAGCCATCCAACCCGCAAAGACAGCCAGCGCGCCGCCAACGGACCAGGAGCTCCATGCCGACTCGGAGCCACCTGCTGCCAGCGAGCATGCAACGCCCACCGCGCGCGCACTAGGCGGCCCTGCTCGAGACCCAGACGAACCCGCAGCACATGGAGACGCCGCTGCAAAAGCCATTTCTCGCGCTGAATAACGAGGCAAGGCGCATGGTTCACCGCGCGAAGATGCGCCGCGCGCTGCCGCCACCGCCTGACGGAGGCCCCGAAGAGCTGAATCTGGCACTCCAACAACGCCCGCACCGCACGCTGCTGAGGTAAGCAGCCCAGCACGCCAGAGAGCCTGCAATCCTGTACTCGCCCCCCCCCCCCCACCCACCCCCCCACCCCGCCCCCCATACCCCCACGCCCCCGCGCCCCGACCCCCACCTCCCTCGAGCAACGTGACCCCAGCATCCGAGATCTCAGGTTCGGAATCCTGGCTGCGGCCGTTGGCCTCCCGACCTGGCTGATGGGCCGTACAAGTCGCGCCCCAGGTTCCCGATCGCCTTTTCCAGTCGGATCCGCATCGCCCTGGCCCAAGCACGAAAGCATGCGCCGCCGACCTGGACGCGGCGACAACTGCGCGCCTGGCCGGCAGGATGATCAACCTCAGCCGGCTGGACTCCTGGACCCACGCATCACCAGCCGCGTCGCAATCGCCAACTCTTTCGATCCAGTAGCCTAACGCCAATCCGCTGCAAAGACACGTCCTCGGCATACAAATCAAAGAGCTTGCTGTGTTTTCGACAGTCTTGACCACGAGCGACGTCGGCAGCGTCGTCGCGCAACTACATCCTGGCAGAATCCCTCGCCTGACCACCATCTGGCGGCTGAGGCTGCCGGAGGCTGGCGCAGCCCTCGGCGCGCAATGCCAGTTGACGAGCTGCCAGAGGAGCCTGAGCGGCAAGGACGCCGCCCGGGCATCCTTGAAGAGCTCAGCCACTCACACAATGTCAACCATGACAAACGCCGCGTGCCCCCCCAAGAACGTCACCACCTCCGATTTGACGTCGCGCGAGAACGCCGCCGCCGACGATGGACAGCATCGCCCGTTGCCCCAGAATCACTGCGCGGATCAGGGCCACTAGGCGCGAACCTCCCCCCCCCGGGAACCCCCGCGCTCCCTGCGACGCTTCGGCAAGGAATCCTTCTCACCAAGTTTCACCCTGCGAGACACGGTCTGCAGCTGCGCGTGCACAGGCCCCGTCGACGTGCGCAGCTCGTCCGTCTCCCGCTTGAACGCGCCCCTGGAGGTGCGCAGCTTGGTGTTTGAGCTGGAAGCCTTCCCCGGCAAGGCCACCTGCACCTCGATCGCGTTGATCCTCTTGCGACAGTCTGCATCCTGCGTCCTGGCGGCGTCGTCTCTCGCGCCGATGCCACCACCAGCGCCGACATCAATGGCAGCTGCTCGGGGTGCCCGACGCTGACACGATCTTGCGCCGCGCCACCTCCGACCCGACCTCCCGGATTCGCGCCTTCGCCGCCGCCTCCTCCTGGCCGTCGGCCCACGGAGGTGCGTCGCGCACGCTGCGGGACGGCTCCTCCGGCTCAACGTGCGCTTTGAAGCGTCCTGACATCCGCAGCTTGCACAGCACACGCCTGCCCGCCGCCAGAGCACTCCACCGCGGCTGATGGGCCGACTTGCCAGGAGGAGGAGGAGGAGGAGGAGGAGAAGGAGGAGGAGGAGGAGGAGGAGGAGGAGGAGGGGGAGGAGGAAGAGGCGGAGCAGGAGGAGGAAGAGGCGGAGGAGGAGGAGGAGGAGGAGGAGGAGGAGGATGAGGGGGGGGGAGGGGGAGGAGGAGGAGGAGGAGGAGGAGGAGGAGGAGGAGCACCTCCTCATCCTCCCTGCTCGCCCGTCCTAGCTATGGCAGTGGTGGTTGCTGCCCCGTCCTGCCGCTGACGCTGAACTGCCAGGCCCAGAGCCTCGACCGGCCCGCGCGGCCGTGCGGCGCCGTGCTGGCTCCTGCGGGGCTCGAGCTGGGGTTCTCGAGCCCCCTGCTGCGTCCGCCCTGGAGAGACGCCGGAGACGGACTCCGGTGGGAGCCGCGGATCCCGCCCGGAGTGAACTGCCCTTGACTGCCGCGGACCAGCGGTGCCCGCCTGAGTTACCCGAGAGCCGTGCATC